GGCAGAGCCAGCCCTGTGCTGCCTGTGACACAGGCGAGGTTGCTATCTTCGTCACAGGGGCGTGCTGGAGGTGGCCGTCGTGCGGGGCGGCTGCATCCTCCCTGGGAAAGGTGTTTTTGCCAGGTGTTGGCCTGACATACACAAAGCGCCGCGTTAATTGGTTTCCTGGGGAGCTTGTTTCTAACAGCGTCTCATTATGCGAGAAACGCTTTCTCTTTTGTCCCACGCTCTGCATATTTTACCATAAAACGTTCATGTCTACTTCTGCAGAGCTGTGGCTCCAGTGTGCGGGAGTCCAACCTCTGCCATGCTCGTGACCAGCCCCACGTCCCCAGTCCCTGTCCCCTGTGCTCTCTGCACCTCTGGCACAGCTCAGGGGCTGCAGGGGTAGGGTGGGTGTCCTGTCCAGCCGGTGGCCGCTCAGGGGCTGTGCCATGGCTGGCAGAAGTGGCACTATGAACTGTGGACATTTTGCAGCCCCTCGTGCTGAGCCTGTTTCTGGGGGCTCTCACCTGTTTGCCCCAGTGTGCTCCGGCTCCTCTGTCACCATGGTAGAAGCCCTCCGCAGCTGCCAGCCCCGTGGCCCGCTGCAAACCCCAGCAATTCCCAGCAGTCTGGGAGAGCCCAGCGGCAGCGTCGCCTTGGCGGAGGCCAGCCACAGCGAGAGTTTTTTGGTGGGAGGTCAGGGCAGCGCCAGCAAAGGGGAAAGCGGCAGCGAAGCTATCCATTAAAGAGTCTCAACTCAATTAAGGCCATTGATTAATCAATTAGAGGAAGCTTGGCTTAACTTCTCAGAAATAATCCAAACTGCTCCCAGTGATGGACAGCTGTGCAAGGGGTGGCATCCATGTCCCCAGCACATACATCCCCAGTGCACATGACCCCTGCCCACATCCCAGTGCGTGTCCCCAGCATATGTGTCCCCAGCACATGGACTGCTCCCTGCTTGTAGCCGCCATGCTGGGGGAGGCTGTGCCTTCCACGCATCCCTCATCAGCCTTGCTCCGCAGTGTTCTGGGTTGTTCCTCTCCTTCAATCAAACCCAGGAGGTGCAGGAGCGCGCTGGGCTCAGCACCGGCAGGTGGGTGGGTGGGTGGCAGAGCCACACGGGCACGGGGACCCTCAGAACAAGGGGTGGCACCTGCCTGGCCTGGGGGTGCAGCCTCGCCGGGTCCTTGCACCATGGGGCTGGAAAGGTGCCTGCTGAGGCCATGCACCACTCCGGCCATGGCAGTCCTGGCCACATCCCTTTGCTCCACTCTTGTGAGACCCCACCTGGAGTACTGCATCCAGCTCTGGAGTCCCCAACATAAGAAGGACGTGGATCTACTGGAGCATGTCCAGAGGAGAGCCACGAGGATGATCCGAGGGCTGGAGCACCTCTCCTATGAGGAGAGGCTGAGAGAGTTGGGGCTGTTCAGCCTGGAGAAGAGAAGGCTC